CGAAGGCGGAGTCGCTTGGGCCCGCCCGCAGGGGCGGGAGGGAGCCACGGCCACCGGCAGCTCCAGCTCGGCTGGTTCCGGGTTGAGAGGCTGCGCTCGGACCGGAGCAGTGGCCGCTGAGCCGGCGAGGGTAAGGGGCCGCGCGGGTCCGGATCTTGGGGCCGGGATAGGGCAGCTGAGCGTGCTCACACCCCTCCTCACCTCTGCCAGGCACAGCCGCGGTGCGGCTCCGCCTGGCTTCCCCCTCCGCGAGAATTCCCCATCCTCAGCTTCTCCCCCTCCCCCCAGGGCACCCATCTCGATATTACAACCCCTCAAGACCTTCACCCCCTCCCAGATCTCCCTCTCCCAGCACCCATCTCTTCGAACTATCCCTTTCCCTAGAAGCTTCTTGACAGGAGCACCCTCCCTCAGACACCCAACGCACCCTCCCTCCAGCACCCATCGCTCCTGGTCATCCACTACCTCGAGACCACCTTTCTGGGCTCACTTCCCGGGTAGTCCCTATCCTGCTACTCTTACTCGTGTTACCCCTCTTCCAGACATCACCCCCTTCCTTCTCCTGTAGCTCCTGTCTCTCCGGGCCTGCTCTTCTATCCCGAGGTGCTGCCCCCGACAGCGCCGCGCTCTCCTCAGCCGCCCCCCTGCATCTCGGGGGACCCTCTTCACCAGCCCCGGCGCCATGGCGTGCAGCCTCAAGGACGAGCTGCTCTGCTCCATCTGTCTGAGCATCTACCAGGACCCGGTGAGCCTGGGCTGCGAGCACTACTTCTGCCGCCGCTGCATCACCGAGCACTGGGTGAGGCAGGAGGCGCAGGGCGCCCGTGACTGCCCCGAGTGCCGGCGCACGTTTGCCGAGCCCGCGCTCGCGCCCAGCCTCAAGCTGGCCAACATCGTGGAGCGCTACAGCGCCTTCCCGCTGGACGCCATCCTCAGCGCGCGCCGCGCCGCGAGACCATGCCAGGCACACGACAAGGTCAAGCTCTTCTGCCTCACGGACCGCGCGCTGCTCTGCTTCTTCTGCGACGAACCCGCGCTGCACGAGCAGCACCAGGTCACCGGCATCGACGATGCCTTCGAGGAGCTGCAGGTGAGCTGCCCCGCCTGCCTGGGGCGGGCGGCGGGGCCGGGCCGGGGGCGGGGTCAGGGCTGGACCGCGGGCAGGGCTCCGTCAGAATTGTCACAGGGCGGGGCTGCCGGCAGGGTCAGGGCCCTATCAGAATTAGGATGGGGCGGGGCCGCAGGGAGGGGGCGGTATTGAGGGTGGGGCCTTGGGCCGTCTATACTGGGCGGGGTCTCGGATAGACCTGAAGTCAGGGGGTGGGTCCACGGTAGGCGGAGAGATCACCGGAGTGGGACCGCGGCGGGGACAAATGAAATAAAAGCTGGATCAGGTACTGACTGGAGCAGGGTTAGGGATGGAGCCGAATCCACTGGACAAGGGCAGGGCTACTGTGAGGGGTCATGGAGCTGGACCTGGAGACAAGGCCCGCTAAGAATGGATCAGGACTGAGCTGGGGACAAAGACACAGATGGGGATGGGGACAAAGTCGGGGCTAGACAGGGGGCAGGGTCGCCATCTGAGGATGAGTCTGAACTGTATGGAGTAGCTGAGCTGCAGACTTGGGGGCACTATGCCCCAGGGTTCAATCAGGTATGCATCTGGACCTAGGGAGCAGTACCTGAGCTAGATTGCTCTGGACAGGTCATGGTTAAATCTAAGAGAAGGTCTAAATGAGGGTCATCAAGTTGCTGAGAGGGTGGGTTTTGGTGTCAGGGGCTAGGCCATGGTGTGTGAGGGGCTGAGGCTGGGATCAAGTTCAGACACTCTAAGAACCATTTGGGTTTAAATCTGAGTAGAGGCCAGAATGAAAATGAGGACAGGACTCAAGATTTGGACAATAAGATTTAGAGGTGAGGTGATTTGAGAAAACAGAGGGAAGTGGACTTCTAAGAGTTTCCAGGAAATTTTGGTGACCTCCTTGTCTCCATCACCCACATCAGGACCTTTGGACTAAATGAAACAGTATATGCACAGTAATCTGAGCATAGTCAGGCTAGGACTATAACTGGTCTGCCTTAAGCTTTTCCATCCTCATTGACCAACTCCTACTCAACTCTCAGAGCCCTGTTCAGATGCCCTCTCTGTATAAACCTTCTCCAAGCTCCACCAGCCAAAACAATAGCATTAGAGCTGTATCTCCCCTAAATACTCTTTGTTGATAAGTATAATCTTTTAAAAAGTAGTGTTCCAAGATCAGCTATATTTGGGAATTATAGGGTATTCTCTATACCCTCCTTGGAGGATTCTTGGCATATATTTGCATATTAAAGGCTTAGACAAATCTTGTAGCAAAGAAACCCATTTTTCTGTGTTTAATAAAATGAATCCCAAGCTTCTTTAAACCTAAACCATTTTCTCAAGGTAAACCACTTAAATCTAGCAGCCTTGTGTCTTTGCTCTTGGAATGCTAGACCAGCACACAGTCCCCCAAGAGCAGGGACAATCTCTTAGTCATCATATCTATGGCTCCAAAGTCTGGCACAAGGCCTGGCCCACAGCAAGCATCATTAAATGTTGAATGAATGAATGAATGAATGAATGATCAGCCATGATCTGAGCTGGCCCAGACTGTGGAGCCTTTGGAAGCAAAAGGTTTTTGACTCAAATACTTTATGAAAATGCAAGTGGTCTAACTTGGGAGGTGGTGAGCTCCCTGACCCTCAAGATGCTTAAGCAGGAGCTAAATAACTACCTGCCCTCATGTCGTAGGGCATCCCACACACACACCTTATACATGGGTCTCTGTGAGTCAGCCTACACCAGCAGATGCCCACGGCCCTAAGAGAAATGGCCCCATGTTCACCTCACCCCCTCTCTGTCCATTTAATCCCCAAACCACAACAGACTCCCTTCAAGTCTGTCTCTTTGAGAATGGAGAGCAAGGGTTGGGGACATTGGGGGCTTGTGTAAGGCTGGCATTGGTCGTTTGCCCCCAGAGCCCCTTGTGTCAGGCACTGGTGTCTCCATCTCCCCATCTATGAAGTCACATAAACAGGGAGGAGGAGAGAACCCTGGACAGGACTGGGCACAGGTCGTAAGAGATTGCAGGGACTCTGTCCAAGACCATCTGCCCAGCCTCTTCATTATGCAGTTGTAGAGATGCAGGTCCAGAGAGGTGATGTGATTTACTCAAAGCCACACTGTCAGGCAGTGAGAGAGCCGGGCTAGAAAGCTCAGCTCGACCTGGGCCAGATCCCACCCCTGCCACTCATCCCCTCCTCTCCCTGTCTGACTTTTAGCTGGAGAGAAATCTGCCTTCTGAAGCTTGGTTTCCCCACCTGCAAGCCAGGAAATCTGAATTACTGTGTTTGGGGTTTTTTGCAGTCTATCCCATGTCCTGGGGCAGGCAGGAAAAACTGAACATGTATTTTCTCCAAACATCATTGAAACACTGTCATTCTCTGGTTAAAAGGAAAACAGGACTGCTATTTACTTACCCTCTATTGTACTGTCCTGGTTGGTTCCAAACCTTCCTTCAGCACTGTCTGTGTGATCATCAGGTCACTTTATGGCAGCCTTGACGCTCTCCGTAAGAACTGGGGTCAGGATGATTCTTGCCTACCAGGATTTTCATGAGGCTGACCTGAGATGAACCTGCTATTTGAGATGCCTGGCACATGGTGGGGGCCGGGGCAGCACCCGCTCCCATCCCTTCTCCTTCTACCTGTGAGAACTCATGCACCCAGCTGGGCAAATGCCCAGACCTGCCTCTCACCTGAGAAGAGGGCCTTGCTTCGGTGCCTCCTTTGGGCTTGGCAAGAAAGTAGCAGAGAAACATGCCTCCCCCCCTGGAGAAGTAAGCTCCTGGGTGAAGTTCAAGCCACTCCCCACCCCCACCCCCCTCTCCTTTCATGGGGGCTCAAGGCTCATTAGCAATTTAAGCACTAGAAATGAGTCTAAGCCTGCCTGGCACACCCTCTCCTCTCTCAGCAGCTGGCGGTTGTCCCCAGGGCTCCTGGAGGCTGGGCTTGAGCCCCTCTCCTGGAGAAAAACAGACTCAACCAGCAGGGCCTTGGAGATCATCTGGTGCAAACTTCATTTGACAGATGGGGAAATGACAGAAAGGGAAGAAGGAGATCTTTCGCAAGTCCTTGAGGCCAGAGGAGGTTACTCCTGGGCTCAGCCGGAGTCTCCTCACACCTCGCCTAGCATTTAGCCTGGAGCTTTTTTCATTTATTATAAATCCCAGAGGCAGCAGAGCAGAAAGGTTAAGAGCTCAGTCTTTGTACTCAGGCAGCTCTAATCCTGCACTACCATTTTCTGGCTGTGTGACCTTAGGAAAGTTCCTGACCATCTCTGATCCTTGGGTCCCTCATTGAGAGCACGGGAATAATGAGGTTAGATTAAATAAGATGACATTTTCAAGAATGCGGTACTGTTCTTGACACATAGTAAGCACTCGATAAACGACAGCTCTATTATGTTACATCATACTCTGTACTATTGATATTTGGGGCTAGATATGTCTTTGTTGTGCAGGGCAGTCCTGTTCATGGTAGGATGTTTAGCAGCATCCTTGGTCTCTACCCACTGGATGCCAGTAGCAACGCCCTCTTCCCTGAAGCTGTGACAACCCAAAATGTCTCCAGACTTCATCAAATGTCCCATGAGGTCAGAATCACCCCTGGTTGAGAACTCTAGCGGCGAGAAGTCTTATTCAGCTTTACAGTCTCAGCTCAAATATCGCCTCCTCCATGAAGCTTTCCCTGACCTGCCAAGTGAAATTGCTTTGTACTCAAGATTCAAATACTGAGGTCAGTTCTTGGCATCATCACTGATAAGCTGTGTGTCCTTGGTCAGGTCACTTCACTTCTCTCAGCCTCCACCTGCTGATTTATAACATGAAGACAATGGACCTCCCTGAGAAGGATGTTGTAAGGGTTAGGGAGAATGGATCAAAAGTGCCTGATACTAAACTTCAATTTAAAAAAAATTTTTTTTAAGTGCCTGATACTGTGCCTGGCACAGAGTAGCATACAACAATTTTTAAATATCTTTATTTTTTTCTGATTTAAAATTAACATGATAAGAAGAGCTATATAATGTAAAAGTAAAAGTCCCCATAATCCTACCCCATAGAAAAACATGATTTTTTTCTTAAAGATTTGCTATATAGTGTTACAGCATTTTTGTTGTGTAAATAGCATGTGTGTGTGTGTGTGTGTATGTGTGTGAGTGTGTGTGTGCATGCCTTCCCTTTTTTTTCACGGCTAAGCAAAAGAGCAAAGGGGCAGGAGGGATCCCCATCTCAGAAGGGTTTGGGGCTTCTCAGCCAGTACTTGCTGAGCCCTAGCCTACTCCGTGGGACTCGCACTTTCCCTGTACTTCCTCATTTAATCTTCATAACGCCCTGTCGAGTGGGAACCATCATTTGCTCCTTTTGCAAATAAGGAAAAAGAGGCTCAGAGGAATTCAGTGACTTGTTCTGTCACCCAGCTGGTAAATGGCAGGGACAGGATTGGAAGCCAGTCTGACCAGGCCACTTGGCCTCCAAGCTGCCTCTGAGGGCTCGGGGTAGTTGTCTGCCCCATGCCCTGCCTGTCTTTGTATTTCAAGTGTACTCGGCACAGGGTCAGGCTAAGGACATTGGGCCAGCTGATGCACTGAGGGCAGGTGCTGGATGTCATCTTGGTCAGGCATGGCATCCGGTTCTCCGGCCTTCTCAGCTTCCTAACCTCCAGAGGAGGGATCGGATTCAGTCCCAGCCACCCCCTCCAGGCCTCATGTGATCACTGGAAACTTTCCCAAAGCCTCCTCCATGCCAAGGGAGACAGCAGTGGATCAGCCCTGGATGGGAGCCCCGACGAGTTGGGCCTGGTGGTCCGTTGAAGCTGAGGCAGCCACCAGGGAAAGAGCAGATCTGGGGACTGGGTTCTAGTTCTGGCTCTGACTTCTTCCAGCTGAGTAGAAGGTACTGCCTCCCCTGCCCCATTTCCCAGCCTGGAAAGTGGAAGTAAGAACAAAAACTGTCTAATTAATGTATAAAGAGAGAGAAAAAGTTGCTGCCCATCCAAAGAGATAACAGA